CCTGTGTGGCTCAGTGATTAAGCGTCAACCCATGAAACAGGAGGTCATGGTTCAATTCCCGGTCAGGACACATGCCTGCATTGCAGGCTCACCCCCAGTAGGAGGCGGCCGATCAATGATTCTCTCTCATCATTGATGTTTCCATCTCTCTCTCCCTCTCCCTTCCTCTCTGAAATCAATAATATACATATATATATAGCTCTGTTTTGGCCTGGTTTGAAATGCCTACTCAAGATGTGAAGTGGTCAGTCTGGAGTTTTGGAGTGAGAGGCCAAGTGTCTGCCTACCCCAGGACCTTTGCACGAGTCATTCCCTCTGCCTGGGATAGTCTGACAGCCACTGACTCCCTCCCTCACCTTCAGCTCTGCCAGAGAGGTCACCACCTCAGTGAGACCTCCATTCTCCCATTCTTGTTTTATTTACTCGAAATGTGGTTTGAATGAGAGCTCATCTTGTTTTAATCTCCGTGGCTCTCAGCCCTGTTGTGCTCAAAATTCATAGAATGCCAACAGGACTCTAACACATTCTCACAAGGAGCCACAGAATCCTGGGCAGGTGTGCCGGCTTGGGATCCACGTGGTCCAGAGGTCTCCCATTTCCCCCGATCTGTGCTACAGGGGGAAACAGAGTTCAGATCTGAACGCTGAGCCCTGAGAGGTTCTGGTGTAAACACATAACTTGGGTTTTGTGGCTGGTCTGTGGAAGAGAAAGCGGGGGCTGCCATATTTGAACCGCAAAATAGGTTTTCACCCATGATCCCTCAACCGGCCCTTAATTGAAGTGTATTTTACTTATGGTCCAACCTGCTAATTGCCTCCCTCTGTGCGCGTGGCTCTCCCTCCCTCTGTGGTTGTAGACTTTCAGCTGAGCACACTAATTCATCCAAAGCTGGCTTGTCTTGCCTGGTTTCTGTTGGGTCCCTGTCGCTGCTTAAAACGATTAAAATTAAATAAAATTTAAAATTCAGTCCAGTGGTTCTCAACTTTCTGGCCCTTTAAATACAGTTCCTCATGTTGTGACCCAACCATAACATTATTTTCATTGCTACTTCATCAGTGTCATGTTGCTACTGTTATGAATCGTCATGTAAATATCTGATCTGCAGGATGGTCTTAGGCGACCCCTGGGAAAGGGTCGTTCGACCGCCAAAGGGGTCGCGACCCACAGGTTGAGAACCGCTGGTTCAGTCCCTCAGCTGCACTGGCCTCATGTCAATTGCTCAGTGGTCACATGTGGCTGGGGACTGTCCGCGTTGGGCAGCACAGATCTAGACTATTCCCATCGTTGCAGAAAGTTCACTGAGTGGCACAGACCTGAGGTTCTTCAAAAACAAAGATTCTGGGTCCCGGTAGAAGTGGGAGGCCTTTGGTGGCAGCCATTCCATTCTCACCTGGTGAAAGCCCTGCGTGTGGGGCTGGGTAATATTTGGACATTTTGTTGGCATGTGTTCCCTGCTGGTTCTTTCACTGTCCCCTGCCCGCCCCAGCCTGGCCAGCCAGCTCTGCAGCCTCCTTGAGCTCTAGGGAAGGGGATGGATGACACAACGCAGAGGAAAGGCGGAAGCACAGATTTCCTTCTTGGCTTCTGAGCTGTGCGCTACTTGGTGGCAATCCAAAGCCTGGATGAAAGTTTGCGAGAAAAGAGGTTTGCATTTCCAAAGCTTTGGCATTTCCTAGGCCTGGCCTGGACACCTCAGGCCTGTTCCTTAGGGACCCCAGAGTCACCTGGATCAAGGCAAGAAAAAGCCCAGAGTGGAGAGGTGCTGGGGCGTGACCACAGAGAAGTGACAGCAGGGAGATGGGGATGGCTTCACCGGCCCCACTCTCTCCTCCGTCCCCAGAACTTCCCAGTGGCCCACATGAGCAAGAAACAAGAGCCAAGTGTCAGAAGGGAGGAAGAAGCTGCAGAAAGCCTGTAGGTAGAAGGACTCTGGTGTCCAGCCAGCGAACGAATGACCAGGAGCAGCGCTAAGGGACAAGGACTCTCTGAAGACACTGGCCAGACGGGGAGATGCTCACGGGCAGGATGCCCCCCAGCTGTCCCCACTCTCAGACACCACGTGACCACCGTTGCACTTGGACCTGGCCCCAGGAAAAGGGAATTTATCAAATGACCTGGCTTTGATGGAGGTTTGCTTCCTGCCACCTGGTGGAAAGAGGCTTGTATTCCTTTTCTCCGGCCTCTGTAACGAATGACCGCGATATGTGGCTTACAACGATGGAATTCTCGCACCTCACATTCTGGAGCCCAAAGTCCAAAATCAAGGTGTCAGCAGGACCAAGCTCCCTCTACAGCAGCGGTTCTCAACCCGTGGGTCGCGACCCTTTTGGCGGTCGAACGACCCTTTCCCAGGGGTCGCCTAAGACCATCCTGCAGATCAGATATTTACATGATGATTCATAACAGTAGCAACATTACAGTGATGAAGTAGCAACGAAGATAATTTTATGGTTGGGTCACAACATGAGGAACTGTATTTAAAGGGCCAGAAGGTTGAGAACCACTGCAGAGTCTAAAGGCTGCAGGGAGACCCTTCCCTGCCTTTTCCAGCCTCTGGCGATGGCCCGCAGTCCTTGGCCTTCCTGGGCTTGTAGACACGTCTTCATTGTTGTGTCTGTCTTCACGTGGCCTTCTCCCCCGTGTGTCTCTCCTTCACGTGGCCTTCTCCCCCGTGTGTCTCTCTGTTAAAATTTCCCTCTTCTTGTAAGGACACCAGTCATTGGATTAGGGCTCACCCTATTTCAGCATGACTTCATCTTAACATCCGTAATAACCCATTTCCAAGTGACGTCACGTTTTCAGGTTGTGGGGGGATAGGTGAGGGGAGGTGAGTGGGGTAGTGGGGTAGGACTTGAGTGTATCTTTTGGGGGGACATAATTCTGCTCTCCACAAGGCTCAAAAAAGAAATGAAGTAACTCTAGTGACTCATTCACTCCTCCAGGAAGCCTGATATCCCCATTTTGCAGAGGAGAAAACTGAGGTTACCAGAGAGGTTACCTAATCTGCCCAAGGTCACATAGTTACTAAAATGGCTAAGCTAGGATTTGAACCCAGGTCATCTTGCTCCCGGGGGGATGTAGCCTTGTAGCCCTTACACTCTAATGCTCACATCTAAGTTAGGGTTCTGCCATTGAACTGCCCACATAGTGGCGTTAGGTGGGACCACCACCAGGACCCAAGCCTGGAGGAAGGCACATCCATTCCAGGAGCGGATTTCGGATCTCCTGGACTCCGCTCTCACTTTTAAAGAAATCGAGATGTCTTAGCTAGTGTTACAGATCAAATTGCCCCCAAACCTGGTGGCTTGAAACAATAAACCTTTATCTTCTCACAGGTTCTGGTGGGCAGGAACCTGGGGGTGGCTTTGCTGGTTTGACCGTTGGGTCACTGATGAGCAATGATCCAAGTTCCAGCCTTTCTTTCTCCTCTCACCGCCCTGTGGTATTTTTTGTTTTATTTAACTCTCCCCTGTCTGCTGTGTTTACACCAGCGGTTCTCAACCTGTGGGTCGTGACCCCTGTGGCGGTCGAATGACCCTTTCCCAGGGGTCGCCTAAGACCATGCTGCATATCAGATATTTACATGACAATTCATAACAGTAGCAAAATTACAGTTATGAAGTAGCAACGAGGTCACCTAAGACCATCCTGCATATCAGATATGTACATTATGATTCATAACAGTAGCAACATCACAGTGATGAAGTAGCAACGAAAATAATTTTATGGTTGGGTCACAGCATGAGGAACTGTATTTAAAGGGCCAGACGGTTGAGAACCACTGGGTTACGCGTTGCTGGAAGGAGGCTGCAGGGAAGACACTGTCCACACATGTGCAGTCCTTTGTGTGCCTGTGTCTCCGTGGCTTCTCAGGGGCTTCACGCCCTCCAGGGGCCCTGCATGCCGCGGACACTCTTCCCCACCAGGGCTGGGCGGGCAGGGCGTGCTGCGGTTGCTTTTGACAGTCAAGCTGAGGCTGCCTTAGATGGTGGAAGGCTTCCCAGCAAATTTGCAGTTGGCCAATCCCAGTGCTGTCATGTGAAGGAGCAGTGGCTGGAGAGGCTGCAGAATCCCTTCTTGAGAGTCGTTCTTCCCTAAATGAGGTGCGAGGAGGAGAAGGTAGTCGGTGCAAATTAGACATAACCCCC